TTTTCCATTGGTAGTAGGCACACAATTTACTTCTAATAACCTTTTTGAGATGGTTACTCATCCAGCTGGGTCTGGAGTCTTTCCCTGCAAATTTTTTCTCCTTGCTTGGGATGCAAATTTCTGATAGTTTTTGTATAGTTGATTTAAAGAAATTCCAAGCCACCTCCAAATTTAAGTCTTTGAGCTCTTTAGTCCAGTTGACTTCTTTAACAAATTCCCTTAATTTCCCAAAGTCTGCCTTTTTGAAATAAAAATCCATAGTTTATGACTGTTTTTGATTATCTTTCCATTTAATTTTAACTGAATCTAGTCATGATCACTCATTTCAAGGTTATTTCCTAAGATCAGCTTCTGTTGGAGCATCTTGCTGGTTCAGTGACAGCTGTTGTCTATCACACCCAGGAATAACCTACTGGCATTAATAGCACGGTGTCTCCAATCTATATCTGGGAAGTTAAAACCCATTGATTTTTATCTGGGAAGTTATAGTCTTCCCTATTTTATTTCTCTCTGTAAAAATATTAAAGAGATTGCTATTCATATCCGAGGCAGACTCTCGGGGTCTGTAGCAGACCCCTAACACTGTCCCAGTAGAGCCTCTTTGCTATCCTTCCTCAAAGCGATTGTGACCCAAACAGATTCTGTTTTGTCCATACTATCACTTATTTCTTTATGGTTTACCGATTCAATGATGTACAATACAACCCCAGCACCATTACCTTTATTCTTATGTCTTCTAAATAGCACACATCCTTCAATACCTGCATTCCAGCCATGACTGCTATTCCACCATATTTCTGAAATCTCTATAACACCTGATTTAATATCCTGAACCAGTAATTTCAGTTTCTCCATTTCATTGCTTAGACTCCTTGCATTCATGTACAATTATTTCAGTTATTTCCCTCTCAGCTCTAAATGCAAGGCAAATTTATTTCACCTAGACTTCTCTACCATAAATACACAGCAACATGTATAGATAGATAGATAGATAGATAGATAGATAGATAGATAGATAGATAGATAGATAGATAAAAGAGCTGGTTGGAAAACAATTGCCAAATAATTTTCCTTGAAATTTTCTGTTTCATCCAAATTAAAATGTTTTGTGGAGACATTCTGATTTTGACAACATTTCCATTGAAGATAATTCAGAACAAAGAGCTGTTGATTTTTCCATGTCATGTTGTTCTGACTTTGTGCTGGAAAATTTATTTCAGTGTAGTGTGCCAGTCACTTTTGTCATGTCACACTGTGTGTTCTTGCTTCAGATTGGTTCAGTTTACCTACATTAACTCACAGTGTGACCTGCTGTGGCCTGCAGTGTTTACTTTGTGTGTGTGTGTGAAGCTGGAGTGTCACTCATACAGTGTCTCATCTGGTACTTATCTCTGGTGAAAGAAACAGGCTGAAAAGTGAGACTGCCAGGACAGGATTCTCCCAGCAAATTAGTAGATTCATAGACATTAAGGTCAGAAGGGACCATTAGGATCACCTAGTCTGACCTCCTGCACAATGCAGGCCACAGAATCTCACCCACCCACTCCTGCAATAAACCTCTGCCCTATGTCTGAGCTATTGAAGTCCTCAAATCATGGTTTAAAGACTTCAAGGTGCAGAGAATCCTCCAGCAAGTGACCCATGCCCCATGCTGCAGAGGAAGGTGAAAAACCCCCAGGGCCTCTTCCAATTTGCCCTGGAGGAAAATTCCTTCCTGACCCCAAATATGGCGATCAGCTGAACCCTGAGCATGTGGGCAAGATTCACCCGCCAGATATCCAGGCAAGAATTCTCTGTAGTAACTCAGATCCCACCCCATCTAACATCCCAGGACAGGCCATTGGGTCTATTTACCATGAATAGTTAAAGATCAATTAATTGCCAAAATCATGTTATCCCATCATCCTCCATAAACTTATCGAATTTAATCTTGAAGCCAGATAGATCTTTTGCCCCCACTGCTTCCCTTGGAAGGCTGCTCCAGAACTTCATTCCTCTGATGGTTAGAAACCTTCGTCTAATTTCAAGTCTAAACTTCCCGATTCAAGTCTAAAGCACCTGTCTCACCCTCCTAGATCTGCTGCTGGTTGCCACTGCAGTGTGAGGCAGCAATCATTCATTATTTCACCTCTTGAAGCCGGACTGCCCCCTCACTTTGACCACTATTTTGCAAGATGAAAAGAGGGTCTTTCAAGCAGAAGTCATCTAAGAAAAAAAATCTGATGCTGCTACTTGTATAAGCAGAAAAGAACTTGAGCTCGCTCTCCCAGAGCCCGCATCATAGAGCCGCGGCAGTGGCAGTAGCAGACCCCAGCATGAGGCAGCTCTGAAGTAGCATTCTTCTATGGAGCAAAGAAAGGCCTGGTCTCAGGGTCTGGGCTTGCTAAATGGAGAAGCTGTTGTGCAAGTTCTGGAGCACAAAATCCAGGAAGTCAAGGGAGAGGATTCCGAACCAGAATCCCACCATGACAAGGAGGAGGTGGCAGAATCCACTTTGCCTGACGCTGACATCTCTGGAGAAGATGCCTGAAGGACACAATTGACCAGCCAGGATATAAGAAATGGTGTGAATATGGAGGAGAAATTTCGCATTGCAGGTCCAGTTACCTGAGAACCCAAATGAGGTAAAATGTTTGATCCAGATACTGGCCCCTAGCAATCTTCTGTCCAGAGACCATCAGTTCCCCCTAAAACTTTGCTCGACCATTACTTCAGTTTTGGAAATGATATGGTTGTTAGTCTCGGATCCTTGGTGGGAGGAAAGGTCACTGCCTTCATCTCTGCCATACATGGATAGGAACACTAGGTGCAAAGGCAGTGTTCTCACAAGGCATTTGTCTCAGCATCAACCGTTGCCAGATACATTCTCCCAATGCACTCCTGGACATTCAGACTTATGTATGCCTTTCCACTGACTGCCATGATACTGAAGGTTCTGAGGAAACTGAAGTAATTATGGGCATGTCTGGTATTTGGACTGATAAACCTCTAAGCACCCTCCTCCCTCACCATCACCTTACCAGACCTACCTGACACAGTCTTACAGAACAGCAGTCGGAGCCTACATCTGGACCCAGCTTTGTTACATCTGGCAGCCTAGATGCTGACTGGATGACATCCATTGAAAGAAGCTGTTTGGCTGAAGTTTAGAACATTCTGCTAGAAAGCAGAAAAGTTGCAACCAGACTGACTTAAAAAGCTAAATGGAAGAGGATTTCTGTTTGGGCATCTCAGCATCATCTGTCTCCCTTGACATAGGGTAGGGAAAATTCAGGACCTTATGATGCTTACTTCCTTTAAAATGTTTCATAAAGAAAGCAGCACTCTCAGACCTCATCCCAAATTTTTGCCCATAGTTGTTTCAGAATTCCATGTGAACCAAGTCATTTATTTCTCTCCCAGTTTCCTCTCCAAACTTCACTGAACCTGGGGGAAAGCTAAACTTGAGATACTTGCTATAGTTAGAGTGCTGTTTTTTTTTTTTTAAATTGACAGGACAAAACCATTCATAAACACCCTAGACTGTTTCTAGCCTTTGCTGATAGGGTTAAGGTTCAGGCAACATCCTCTCAGAGATTATCTAAAGTGAGTCTTCAACTACATAAGGTTATGTTATGATGTAACAATGTTAGATCCACTTAACCACATTAGAGCTCATTTCACTACAACTCAGGTAGCCTCTGCTGTGTGTCTGAAAAATGTTCCTGTTTCTAAATTCTGTAGGGCAGCTATGTGGAGCTTGGTCCACACATTCACAAACCACTATTATTTGGGAGAGGCTTCCAGATCAGATGCCCGCTTTAGTAGTGCTATTCTGCAGACACTGTTTAAATAGGACTCCTACTTGCCACCTCCATGCAAACAGATAATGTGACCAAGAGTGGAATCCATGTGGAGAATCACTTAAAGAAGAAGAAAAGGTTACTTACTCTACAGAAACTGTGGTTCTTTTAGATGTGTTGTCCATATGGGTTCCTTGGCCCATCCTCCTTCCTTACTACTTTGGATCCTATCCCTCTAGGATTCCAAACTGGTAAAGAAACTGAGGTATGGCTGGCCCCCTCCACCATTTATAATGTCATGTGAGGAGGCATGAGGACATCTAGGGCTCAGGAGCTGACGCAACAAACATCACTGGCTAAAATATTCTGATCTTGCACTCATGGGCCACATGCACACCAAGAGTGAAATGCATGTGGACAACACATCTTGAAAAAAACACCATTTTGTAAGGTCCATATGTTCTGCTATATGAAGAATAAGTTCTGGTGTGTAAATACTGGCAGAAAGCATGTGAGAGAGACAAGTATCTATGAAATAGCTATGGACTAACAAAACATATTATACAGTTTTAAAAAATCGTCATTTCCTGACTTCCCCTTATTATCTAAGGGCTAAATGTTAGCCCCTTCAATGAAGTGTCCACCTAACCAGACTTGTGTAGGGAATGGTTCCCAATATTTTTCTAGTTGAAACCCCACTTATGAAAGATTAGTAGATGGGGGTTTCTATTCTATGCCCCCTAATGCCATGACCCTGCACAATCTTTTCTGATAAGTTTTCATTCTCCTTTCCTTTCCTATTGCCTCCATTCTCTCTGCTCTTTCTTCTTCCATTTTCTCTCTCTCTTTTTTCACATTTATGCATGTGTGTGCACACCATTTTATCTCTTCTTTTCTCTCTTGGTTAGTAACCCCCTATTCCTCACACTGCAGAAGTGTGCTTGCTGCTTGTGGAAGGAGTTTCCACTGGTGGCTTTATGAGGCCAGGTCAAATAAGCCCCTCCAGTTTAATTGGGCCCCACAGGTACAGACAAGATACGCTTGAGACTGTGGGCTTCTGATTGAATTGGCAGAGCTATGAATATGACCTGCTCATGTGGCTAGCTGCATTAGGGGCTGATGTTGGAGCAGAGATAGAGCTAGCTACATTCAGCCCTGGTCTACACTAGGACTTTAGGTCGAATTTAGCAGCGTTAAATCGATTTAAACCTGCACCCGTCCACACAATGAAGCCCTTTATTTCGACTTAAAGGGCTCTTAAAATCGATTTCCTTACTCCACCCCTGACAAGTGGATTAGCGCTTAAATCGACGTTGCCGGCTCGAATTTGGGGTACTGTGGACACAATTCGATGGTATTGGCCTCCGGGAGCTATCCCAGAGTGCTCCATTCTGACCGCTCTGGACAGCGCTCTCAACTCAGATGCACTGGCCAGGTAGACAGGAAAAGAACCGCGAACTTTTGAATCTCATTTCCTGTTTGGCCAGCGTGGCAAGCTGCAGGTGACCATGCAGAGCTCATCAGCACAGGTGACCATGATGGAGTCCCAGAATCGCAAAAGAGCTCCAGCATGGACCGAACGGGAGGTACGGGATCTCATCGCTGTTTGGGGAGAGGAATCCGTGCTATCAGAACTCCGTTCCAGTTTTCGAAATGCCAAAACCTTTCTGAAAATCTCCCAGGGCATGAAGGACAGAGGCCATAACAGCGACCCGAAGCAGTGCCGCGTGAAACTGAAGGAGCTGAGGCAAGCCTACCAGAAAACCAGAGAGGCGAACAGCCGCTCTGGGTCAGAGCCCCAAACATGCCGCTTCTATGATGAGCTGCATGCCATTTTAGGGGGTTCAGCCACCACTACCCCAGCCGTGTTGTTTGACTCCTTCAATGGAGATGGAGGCAATACGGAAGTAGGTTTTGGGGACGAAGAAGATGATGATGAGGAGGTTGTAGATAGCTCACAGCAAGCAAGCGGAGAAACCGGTTTTCCCGACAGCCAGGAACTGTTTCTCACCCTAGACCTGGAGCCAGTACCCCCCGAACCCACCCAAGGCTGCCTCCTGGACTCAGCAGGCGGAGAAGGGACCTCTGGTGAGTGTACCTTTTAAAATGCTATACATGGTTTAAAAGCAAGCATGTGAAAGGATTACTTTGCCCTGGCATTTGCGGTTCTGCCTTTGCAAAAGGTTTCTGGGGAGGGCAGCCTTATTTCGTCCTTCATGGTAGGACACTTTACCACTCCAGGCCAGCAACACGTACTGGGGAATCACTGTAGAACAAAGCATTGCAGTGTATGTTTGCTGGCATTCAACCAAAATCCGTTCACGCGGTGGAAGGAGGCAAAATGCGACCTTGTAACGAAAGCACATGTGCTATGTATGTAATGTTAACAGCAAGGTTTACCCTGAAAGAGTGTAGCGACTGTTTTATAAAATGTGTCTTTTTAAATACCGCTGTCCCTTTTTTTTTCTCCACCAGCTGCATGTGTTTCAATGATCACAGGATCTTCTCCTTCCCAGAGGCTAGTGAAGCTTAGAAAGAAAAAAAAACGCACTCGCGATGAAATGTTCTCCGAGCTCATGCTGTCCTCCCACACTGACAGAGCACAGACGAATGCATGGAGGCAAATAATGTCAGAGTGCAGGAAAGCACAAAATGACCGGGAGGAGAGGTGGAGGGCTGAAGAGAGTAAGTGGCGGGCTGAAGACAGGGCTGAAGCTCAAAGGTGGCGGCAGCGTGATGAGAGGAGGCAGGATTCAATGCTGAGGCTGCTGCAGGACCAAACCAGTATGCTCCAGTGTATGGTTGAGCTGAAGCAAAGGCAGCTGGAGCACAGACTGCCACTGCAGCCCCTCTGTAACCAACCGCCCTCCTCCCCAAGTTCCATAGCCTCCACACCCAGACGCCAAAGAACGCGGTGGGGGGGCCTCCGGCCAACCAGCCACTCCACCACAGAGGATTGCCCAAAAAAAAGAAGGCTGTCATTCAATAAATTTTAAAGTTGTAAACTTTTAAAGTGCTGTGCTTAAAGTGCTGTGTGGCATTTTCCTTCCCTCCTCCACCACCCCTCCTGGGATACCTTGGTAGTCATCCCCCTATTTGTGTGATGAATGAATAACGAATGCATGAATGTGAAGCAACAATGACTTTATTGGCTCTGCAAGCAATGATTAAAGGGAGGAGGGGAGGGTGGTTAGCTTACAGGGAAGTAGAGTGAACCAAGGGGCGGGGGGGTTAATCAAGGAGAAACAAACAGAACTTTCACACCGTAGCCTGGCCAGTCATGAAACTGTTTTTCAAAGCTTCTCTGATGCGTACCGCGCCCTCCTGTGCTCTTCTAACCGCCCTGGTGTCTGGCTGCGCGTAACCAGCAGCCAGGCGATTTGCCTCAACCTCCCACCCTGCCATAAACGTCTCCCCCTTACTCTCACAGATATTGTGGAGCACACAGCAAGCAGTAATAACAGTGGGAATATTGGTTTCGCTGAGGTCTAAGCGAGTCAGTAAACTGCGCCAGCGCGCCTTTAAACGTCCAAATGCACATTCTATCACCATTCTGCACTTGCTCAGCCTGTAGTTGAACAGCTCCTGACCACTGTCCAGGCTGCCTGTGTATGGCTTCATGAGCCATGGCATTAAGGGGTAGGCTGGGTCCCCAAGGATACATATAGGCATTTCAACATCCCCAACAGTTATTTTCTGGTCTGGGAATAAAGTCCCTTCCTGCAGCTTTTGAAACAGACCAGAGTTCCTGAAGATGCGAGCATCATGCACCTTTCCCGGCCATCCCACGTTGATGTTGGTGAAACGTCCCTTGTGATCCACCAGAGCTTGCAGCTCTATCGAAAAGTACCCCTTGCGGTTTATGTACTCGGCGGCTTGGTGCTCCGGTGCCAAGATAGGGATATGGGTTCCGTCTATAGCCCCACCACAGTTAGGGAATCCCATTTCAGCAAAGCCATCCACTATGACCTGCACATTTCCGAGGGTCACTACCCTTGATATCAGCAGATCTTTGATTGCGTGGGCTACTTGCATCACAGCAGCCTCCACAGTAGATTTGCCCACTCCAAATTGATTCCCAACTGACCGGTAGCTGTCTGGCGTTGCAAGCTTCCACAGGGCTATCGCCACTTGCTTCTCAACTGTGAGGGCTGCTCTCATCTTGGTATTCATGCGCTTCAGGGCAGGGGAAAGCAAGTCACAAAGTTCCATGAAAGTGCCCTTACCCATGAGAAAGTTTCGTAGCCACTGGGAATCGTCCCAGACCTGCAACACTATGCGGTCCCACCAGTCTGTGCTTGTTTCCCGAGCCCAGAATCGGCGTTCCACAGCATGAACCTGCCCCATTAGCACCATGATGCATGCATTGTCAGGGCCCATGCTTTCAGAGAAATCTGTGTCCATGTCCTGATCACTCACGGGACCGTGCTGACGTCGCCTCCTCGCCCGGTATCGCGTTGCCATGTTCTGGTGCTGCATATACTGCTGAATAATGCGTGTGGTGGTTAATGTGCTCCTAATTGCCAAAGTGAGCTGAGCGGGCTCCATGCTTGCCGTGGTATGGCGTCCGCACAGAAAAAAGGCGCGGAACGATTGTCTGCCATTGCTCTGACGGAGGGAGGGGCGACTGACGACACGGCTTACAGGGTTGGCTTCAGGGAGCTAAAATCAACAAAGGGGGTGCCTGTACATCAAGGAGTATTTCAGGCAGGACTGCACGGAGGGTTCCAATAAGAAGTGGTGCACCTAAGTTATCGTTGTTATTGGAACAAGGAGGTTAGCCTGGCCTCTGATTGATACATGGCTAGATTTACCTCGCTGCACCTTCTCTGTGAGTGACTGCAGTGTGACCTAGAGGAATGAGTCCCCTAGACAGGGGAGGAGGCAAATGAGTACAAAACAAATCTGGTCTATTTCTTGTTTTGACCCACTCCATCTATCTTTTACATCTTTGGCTGGCAGCAGACAGTGCAGAAGGACTGCATGCCATCCACATCTCATGGCTGCTCGGCAGAAGATGGTACGACTGCTAGCCATCCCCATCTCTTGCCTGCCTGGCAGAAGATGGTGCAATACGACTGCTAGCAATCCTCATCTCTTGCCTGCCTGGCAGAAGATGGTACAGTACGACTGCTAGCAGTCCGTATCGCCTGCCCGCTCACCATAAGACGGTTCAATAGGACTGACTGCAGGACTAAAGAGAATGACCTGGTCAAGTCACTCCAAATTTAGTCCCTGCGCCCATGTCTGCCCAGGCGCTCCCAGCCGACGCGGCCAGGAGCACCTCGGACACGATGAGGACGACTACCAGTCGTATTGCACCGTCTGCTGCCAGAAGGCAAGGGGTTGCTGCTACTGTGCAGCAAAGCCGTACTGCGTCTGCCAGCACCCAGGAGACATAGGGTGACGGTTACCTGAGCGGGCTCCATGCTTGCTGTGGTATGGCGTCTGCACAGGTAACTCAGGAAAAAAGGCGCGAAATGATTGTCTGCCCTTGCTTTCACGGAGGGAGGGAGGGAACGGGGGCCTGATGACACGTACCCAGAACCACCCGCGACAATGTTTTAGCCCCATCAGGCATTGGGATCTCAACCCAGAATTCCAATGGGCAGCGGAGACTGCGGGAACTGTGGGATAGCTACCCACAGTGCAACGCTCCGGAAGTCGACGCTTGCCTCGGTACTGTGGAAGCGCTCCGCCGAGTTAATGCACTTAATGCACTTAGAGCATTTTCTGTGGGGACACACACACTCGAATTTATAAAACCGATTTCTAAAAAACCGACTTCTATAAATTCGACCTTATTCCGTAGTGTAGACATACCCTCAGTTACCTCTGCCCTCACCTCATAGATCTGGAAGAGTTATCACAGAAGAGGTGGGTATGCTAGGGGCCAATATTCCACCAAAATACTGAACAGCCAAATACTGGGTTCCTCACACATGTCGGCTATGGTTCTCTCCTCCCTCTTGTATGCTCTTGTTTCCTTAAAGCCGTATTCTCCACTACCTACTAGTTTCTGTAGTCATTTAAATGTATCCCACATGGTTTTAACATGTTGCTAATCAGTATGGTATCATTTAACACTCATTTTGTATTCACTTTGCATTGGTGTAAATGACTGCAATGCACTTGAGAATCAGACCCCAATAGTTCCACAGTACAATAACCCTATCATGTACTGTTTCAGAGGAACAGCCGTGTTAGTCTGTATTCGCAAAAAGAAAAGGAGTACTTGTGGCACCTTAGAGACTAACCAATTTATTTGAGCATGAGCTTTCGTGAGCTACAGCTCACTTCATCAGATGTTTACCGTGGAAACTGCAGCAGACTTTATATACACACAGAGAATATGAAACAATACCTCCTCCCACCCCACTGTCCTGCTGGTAATAGCTTATCTAAAGTGATCAACAGGTGGGCCATTTCCAGCACAAATCCAGGTTTTCTCACCCTCCACCCCCCCCACACAAATTCACTCTCCTGCTGGTGCTAGCCCATCCAAAGTGACAACTCTTTACATAATCAAGTCGGGCTATTTCCTGCATAGATCCAGGTTTTCTCACATCCCCCCCACCCCCATACACACACAAACTCACTCTCCTGCTGGTAATAGCTCATCTAAACTGACCACTCTCCAAGTTTAAATCCAAGTTAAACCAGAACATCGGGGGGGGGGGGGGGGGCTAGGAAAAAACAAGAGGAAACAGGCTACCTTGCATAATGACTTAGCCACTCCCAGTCACTATTTAAGCCTAAATTAATAGTATCCAATTTGCAAATGAATTCCAATTCAGCAGTTTCTCGCTGGAGTCTGGATTTGAAGTTTTTTTGTTTTAAGATAGCGACCTTCATGTCTGTGATTGCGTGACCAGAGAGATTGAAGTGGTCTCCGACTGGTTTATGAATGTTATAATTCTTGACATCTGATTTGTGTCCATTTATTCTTTTACGTAGAGACTGTCCAGTTTGACCAATGTACATGGCAGAGGGGCATTGCTGGCACATGATGGCATATATCACATTGGTGGATGTGCAGGTGAACGAGCCTCTGATAGTGTGGCTGATGTTATTAGGCCCTGTGATGGTGTCCCCTGAATAGATATGTGGGCACAATTGGCAACGGGCTTTGTTGCAAGGATAAGTTCCTGGGTTAGTGGTTCTGTTGTGTGGTATGTGGTTGTTGGTGAGTATTTGCTTCAGGTTGCGGGGCTGTCTGTAGGCAAGGACTGGCCTGTCTCCCAAGACTTGTGAGAGTGTTGGGTCATCCTTTAGGATAGGTTGTAGATCCTTAATAATGCGTTGGAGGGGTTTTAGTTGGGGGCTGAAGGTCGAAACAGCAGACTGGACTTCTACATAGAGTGCTTCCGCCGACGTGCACGGGCTGAAATTGTGGAAAAGCAGCATCACTTGCCCCATAACCTCAGCCATGCGGAACGCAATGCCATCCACAGCCTCAGAAACAACTCTGACATCATAATCAAAAAGGCTGACAAAGGAGGTGCTGTTGTCATCATGAATAGGTCGGAATATGAACAAGGGGCTGCTCGGCAGCTCTCCAACACGAGTTTCTACAAGCCATTACCCTATGATCCCACTGAGAGTTACCAAAAGCAACTACAGCATTTGCTCAAGAAACTTCCTGAAAAAGCACAAGATCAAATCCGCACAGACACACCCCTGGAACCCCGACCTGGGATATTCTACTACCCAAGATCCATAAACCTGGAAATCCTGGGCGCCCCATCATCTCAGGCATTGGCACCCTGACAGCAGGATTGTCTGGCTATGTAGACTCCCTCCTCAGGCCCTACGCTACCAGCACTCCCAGCTACCTTCGAGACACCACTGACTTCCTGAGGAAACTTCAATCCATCGGTGATCTTCCGGATAACACCATCCTGGCTACTATGGATGTAGAAGCCCTCTACACCAACATTCCACACAAAGATGGACTACAAGCCGTCAAGAACACTATCCCCGATAATGTCACGGCTAACCTGGTGGCTGAACTTTGTGACTTTGTCCTTACCCATAACTATTTCAC